AGAGACGGTTGCTGCTAATCTGCTACACTAGAAAAACCGCACGCAGAGGAAATAATAAGTGGGCTTCTAAGGTCTGAATGAGATTATTGCATTAACACAGCCAAAGCGAAGAAGAGCAATCCCTCTGCCCCAACCTCAAATAAAGCTCCAATTTTGACGGGGTGGGGAGCAACCAAGACATCCGAGAGAACAGAAAGTCCCCTAGCTGCATTCCTCAAGGCAGAAAGAGCTCTTCATTTCAAATCATTCTGCCATTTTGAGGTTCCTTTTCAAAACTTAGAGCATCCACCTGCCACAATGCCTTTTTAAAAATGAGACAAGAACACATCAGTCCTTCCTTCCCCCTCCCAATCTCCTCTGAATGACAGCATATTATCATATGCAACTCTAAGAGTGCTGAACTGAATTTTCATTACTCCAAACGTCAAAAGCAGTTTGTGTCACCAGAGAACACAGATGGTTGTCCTAGGCTGCCTTTTTTTGTTGCTGCTGTTCTGGGTTAACACCAATTGCATGAGCCACAATAGATTGTGCCTTTCAGAAGAGGTGGGTTCTTCCTGGGAATGCCATTCCCTATATACTAGGCCTGAACTACATGCTCAGCAAAATCAGTGTCTGCTCTGAACTTTACGATATCGGACTGAAGGGAACTAAATTTCTGAAGGCGCTTCAAAAATTCCCTGAACATAGAAAAAGATAGCACAAGAAGGTGGTAGAGAAAAGGGCAGACTGTTTTGCAACCAGGTAGACTCAGCTGTTCTGTTCTTGGTTCATGAAGTAAGTTGTCAAGAGAACCTTGCAATTATCTTCCAGAACTTGGGAAGACTAAATATTGGTGGAAACCTGCCGGTTGCTTTCCCTGCCTCTTTGTGCCCCCCTGAGGCTCTTCAAATTCTCTCACCGCATGAACTTTCTTCATGGACTTAGTTGGCAAACTGATCTGAGAGCACTGCATCAGCGTGGGAAATGATTTGGGTTCCCTATGGTGACTTAGAACAGAAATATCACCTGCTGTATCTAACAAAAATCTCAGATTCACACTGGCTTTGACAAAAACATGCAACTTGCTTGCAAGACACATCCTAGTAACCAGATCTCTCCTTCGGCATGTTGATTTCACTTGAAACCCAACATAGAGGAAGGATGCCCTAAAAATATATTACTAATCAACATTTTTATCTAGCAAAGGTAAAGTTATAAACACAGCCTCCATTAATAGTTAAGATCCTTATTATCTAAACCAGAGCTTTCCAAACTTTTCATGCTGGTGACACACTTTTTAAACATGCATCATTTCGCAACACGGTAATTCAGTTTTATTTGCAAACCAGAGGTTAAATTAACCCCTTTCCAGCCCCGGAAAGAGCACGGGGAGCGTTCATGAGAAACACCTACATACTGTAGTTGACACACTAATGTGTCACGACACACAGTTTGAAAAGCTCTGATCTAAATCTTGGCTAACCAAATTTTGCAATGATGCACCCTGAAGCAAAAGAAAAAATCCTAATATTCTGGGTTCTGAACTGGCAGTGAGTGACCAAGAAAAGGATCTTGGGATTGCGGTGATTAACTTGATGAAAATGGCAACTCAGTGTGCAGCAGCTGTGAAGAAGGCAAATTCCATGTTAGGGATCATTAGGAAAGGGATTGAAAATAAAACTTCCAACCTCAAAAAGGACATTGTCATGCTGGAAAAAGTTTGGGAAACAGTAGCCAAAATGATCAAGGGTCTGGAGCAACTTTCCTATGAGGAAAGGCTGCAAGATCTGTGAATTTCTCATTTAGAAGAAGGGTAAGGGGGATATCATGCAGGGGTGTAAAACTAGGAATGGTGTTGAGAAAGTAGGTAGGGAATTTTTTTTATCTTGCTTTCATAGTGTTAGAGCCTGTGACTGTCCACATTGGAAGATTCCAGAGACACAAAAGAAAGCACTTCTTCACACAGCACATTGTTAAACTATGGCATTCACTCCCATAAGATTATGGTGGTGGCTGCCAACCTGAATGGCTTTAAAGGGGGATGAGACAAATTCATGGAGGGCAATGGCTGCTAGTCATAGTGGTTATATATAACCCACAGGATCAGACACAATATGCCTCTGAAAGGCAGTGGCTGGGGATCACGATCAGAGACTGCTGGTGCCAGAGCCAGCACAAGTTTTGCTGCCTGAAGTGAAGAACAAGACCCTCCCTCACTGCATATACAGAACACAAACAAAGCAGCAGTTGAGTCTTCCTCACTAGTGATGGGACAATAGCCTCCACTATTCCTGAGAGCAGAAGGCTAGCTTAGCTGGCGTAGAGCAGGCAGTGTGGCACACACAGCTCTGTCTTCCCAACAGCTTGCTACACTTCCTGCATCTAGTGATGAAGGCAGAAGCCTGACTAACAGCAGGGCTGGCCGTAGCTACTATGCTTGTATCCTTGTGAGCTTCTCACTGGGGTATTCTCTTCTCCACTGTGAGAATGAATGCTGGAATAGCCCTTTGGTCAGACACAGAAAGTCTCTTCCAATGTTCTTACCCATAACTCTTGACTAAGCTGCTGTTGAATGTAACTCATTGGTATGGATATATAAAGGTAAAGGTACCCCTGCCGGTACGGGCCAGTCTTGACAGACTCTAGGGTTGTGTGCTCATCTCACTCTATAGGCCGGGAGCCAGCGCTGTCCGCAGACACTTCCGGGTCACGTGGCCAGCGTGACAAGCTGCATCTGGCGAGCCAGCGCAGCACACGGAACGCCGTTTACCTTCCCGCTGGTAAGCGGTCCCTATTTATCTACTTGCACCCGGGGGTGCTTTCGAACTGCTAGGTTGGCAGGCATGGATATATAAACAAGCATTATACCAGCTCCACTTCTTGAATGCTCCAGATAATCTGAATTAAAGTTTGCATTTTGGGCTCTTTTTCCCTTGCACAATTCTAAGTTACCTTCCATTCACTTCCAAATATTGCAAGTCATCTGCATTAAATGCTGTAACATTTCTTGTGAGGCAAGCTCCAAATACTTTTCTTGATGTGCAGACATACCAGACCAAGATCGAGGAGAGGGGTGAGAAGAGGCAGGTTAGGGGGCCACAAACAGCTTCTTTCACAAAGCTCACCGGATGGAATGGTCATTACCTTTCAGCCTAGCTTACCTCACAGGGTTACAGTGAGGATAATATGTGAATGATTATATAGCACCATGAGCATTAGTTAGTACACTGGGATATAGAATGAATGCTCATACATATGAACGGCATACCTCTGCACATCACAGAGAGGCTGACAGCTTCCTCCCTAGGAAGGAGAACACAGGAAAACTCTGAATATTCTCAGATCAACTTACAGGTCATTCTCCTCCATTGCAAAGTGAAAGTCTGGAAGAAATGTGCTTCTGAATGAAAAGGCCATAACCCAATATAGAGCTACATGTGCAAAAGCCTACTGACTCATCAGATTAATTAGGCCTTTATTTAGTGCTGGATTGTAACACTCAAAACAACCAGCTCCTGAATAAATCCTAGAGAGAATTTGGCTTTGCTCCTGTGAAAGCAGCTAAAAATTGAATATATTTGTTCCCTCCATACCTTCCCTGCCCCCATGACACCATGGTAGGGTTTGTTGCAGATCTGCTGAATTGCAGGGTCAGATTTACTGCTTTGCAGCTAATGGGTAACTTTAAAAAGGGAATGGCACTTCCCTCTCGGCTAACTGTGTCAGTGTGCTGGTGTGAATGCTGCACCCCCAGTCAGTTTCTAAACGCAGGAAACCTGGCAGGCAAGAGAGCAGGAGAGGCTGTTCCTCTAAAAGCTCTGAGCATCCACCTCCAAGTCACGTTGGCTCCGCATTTTATGGCAGAGTCAGAATCAGCAGGGGGCATTGGTGGCGACAGTAATTAAATCCTATAGTGTCTGCTATGCAAAGGGCACTTCATTAATTACAAGGAAGGTGACGGGTGTGCTATGCAGCTCTTTGACAACCATGCCGCTTGGTGGAATTAACTATACTATTAGTGTAATGTATAAGAAAGCTATTAGGGATGTAATAGTAAATTCATCTGAATACAAAATTTTTAAGCACAAACAACGCAAACAGGCTCTCTCTTTTATCAAGGAAATGCCAAGATCTCACCTCTCACTGTTAGATTGGCATTTTATAGCCTCTCACCCTTTGCATACACACTAAAGCACACACCACAACCATGGTGTATAGCTGGGTAATTGCATTAGCTCACCTTCATCCCTTGTTAGCCTTTGCCTCTCCCCTTCCAACCCAGCATCTGGTTTTGAAATGCAGATAACTTTGAATGGAAAGATCCCTGGGTCAGGAGCCTGCTTTCCTCCCTTCTTCCAACAATGCTGTAAAGGGCCAGGAACATGGATGGTTCTATCATAAGCAGCAAGCAGGGCCTCGCAACTAAGTGTTGCAGTGGATCTCTAGTGTGTGTGTGTGTGTGTGTGTGTGTGTGTGTGTGTGTGTTACCAGAGCCTAGCATTAAAAATACAAATAGAAACGTTAGGAACAATAAAATCAGATAATCAGAGAATTGTAGAATTAAAAGGGACCACAAGGGTCATCTAGTCTAACCCACTGCAAAGCAATGAGGAACGGCTAAGGGAGCTGGGCATGTTTAGCCTGGAGAAGAGGAGGTTAAGGGGTGATATGATAGCCATGTTCAAATATATAAAAGGATGTCACATAGAGGAGGGAGAAAGGTTGTTTTCTGCTGCTCCAGAGAAGCGGACATGGAGCAATGGATCCAAACTACAAGAAAGAAGATTCCACCTAAACATTAGGAAGAACTTCCTGACAGTAAGAGCTGTTCAACAGTGGAATTTGCTGCCAAGGAGTGTGGTGGAGTCTCCTTCTTTGGAGGTCTTTAAGCAGAGGCTTGACAACCATATGTCAGGAGTGCTCTGATGGTGTTTCCTGCTTGGCAGGGGGTTGGACTCGATGGCCCTTGTGGTCTCTTCCAACTCTATGATTCTATGATTCTATAAGCAGGAATCATCTGTCCAACGTTGGGTTTGAACCCACTACCGAGATTAAGAATCTCATGCTCTACTGACTGAGCTGCAGTGATAGTTAGAACATTTGTTCCAACTTGGGTCTATCTATCTTTATGTGCTTTTTAGTTCAGGTTTTTTTAATGAACAATTAAAAGTGCAACTAGTCTGCTTGCAAGTCAATGTGACTTCTGCATGCAACTGAGTGTTTGGAGGAGATCTGAGAATAGCAATTTAAGTAGACTGACATTTTCTGCAACCTGCAATAGCTCTGATGTTTTCATTTTCTCATCTCTTTCCCTGGTCTGAGGAAAGTCACTGTTTGCTGTTTGGTCCATATTTCCTTTAAAGCAGGAAAAGAGAGAGGGAAAGAGGGAGGGAGGAACATGCATGCCCAGGTCTACTGCATTACTATTTCCCAAAGTGTCAGACCCATCTGTTATACCGGCCTCCCAAATATAAAATATAATACAACTGGAAAGAAATTTCAGCGAAATCTATCATCCTGAAAGCATTACAAAACATACTTTGTGAGTGGGTGGGTATCAAAACCTGGCTGTACTGTGAAACTCAAATATCATGACAAAACTCAAAACTGATATGGCTACCAGGGAGTTTTATCTTGCAGTCCGGTATTTTGAATTCTGACTTAAAATGTGAAAACAACTAGTTTGAAGTTTTGATCTGTTTCCTATTTCAAAAAAGATAGCGGCTATCAAGGTAAGTGAAAAAGTGTTACTCAAGTGTTCATTTGAAACCAGATTTGGCCTACCTTGAAGTTCACCACTCCTGCTGTACAACTCCCTCCTCTGCTCCCGCAAATAGTCACTCATACTAATGGCATGGGAAGATGATTCAAACCTGCAATGAGACAAACACAGCACGTCAGCAGGCATTATGAATCGATGTGGAAGTCAAGGCCAGTTCCAATATGCATGGTCATATACTGACAGTATAATCCTGAGAGCAAGAAAGTGGCCATCTTCAAAAGCTAAACAAGTTGCTAATTCTGTTGATCTCTGACTGAGTCCCCGTATCCCTCCCCATTATTAATCATCTCATACGTTTCATTCTGCTGCTAAGATCCTAACTAAAAGGCACCAAATCTTAGTTTGTGGCATGTACCTCACACTCTTCTGAATATTCTTCGGAGTATTATGGGCCCCTGGCGTCATGAGCACTAACAAGGAACATAGGTCATTTACTCAAAGAAACACTTTTGTACTGATCATTTCCAGCCCCACCCTATGCAAAACGGGCACTTCCTCCTTCCTCCCCACTTCCCATGTCAGGTAAAGTCAGACCACAAAACACAACTCTTTGAATATTCCTGGCCATGGGAAACTGGCGAGAATAGTTCCTTTAAGACATGGGTAGGCAAGCTAAGACCCGGCGGCTGGATCCAGCCCAAACGCCTTCTAAATCCGGTCAGCGGACGGTCTGGGAATCGACGTGTGTCCTTTTATTTAATGTGTCCTTTTATTTAAAATGCATCACTGGGTTCTTTGTGGGGCCTGCCTGGTGTTTTTACACAAGTAGAATGTGTCCTTTTATTTAAAATGCATCTCTGGGTTATTTGTGGAGCATAGGAATTCGTTCATTTTTAATTTTTTTCATAATATTGTCCGGCCCCCCACAAGGCCTGAGGGACAGTGGACCGGCCCCCTGCTGAAAAAGTTTGCTGACCCCTGCTTTAAGAGTTTTACCCCAGACACACGACTCTCTAAAGCCCTCTGCTTATAAGGTAGGAAGAACAGTCTCTTCCACAACCATTACAGAAGGAAAGAAAATGTCCTGGGGAAATGCCACTTTAGGTGGCCATGCAAGTCTGCCTAGCAGCAGGCCTCCCTATTCTGTCTGTATGATAACTCAAAGGAACATAGAAAGCTGCCTTACACCAAGACAGACCATTGGCTCAACTAGCTCAGTGTTGTCTGCTCTGACTGGAAGCAGCTCTCAAGGGCTTCAAGCAGGGGACCCAGCCTTACCTAGAGAGGATGGGGTAAACAACCAGATGCTCTACCACTGAGCTAGGGCCCTCTCCATAACTTAGCCTGATTACTCAAGGAGGGCTCTTGAAAATGCAGAGAGCCTTCTGGCAGGTGGATGGCCCTCTAAATGGGAAAGAGGGTTGGGAGACAGCTGCTCTGTGTGGCGAGACAAACACCGAAGGAAGAAGAAAACAGCACGACCGAGGCATTATCAAACAACTACACCTCTCAACAAGATGAAAAATGCCATTTTAATGGCAAGATCTCTGCAGATGCAGTGACAGCTGACAGATAAAGCAACCAGAGATCCCAGCAAGCATGGCTGTCATTGTGGTTAAAGCAATGACAAGAGAATGAGCAGCAGGGGACACGCGCTTCTTATTAAGCAATTATGCCTTACTTCATTTTCGTCAGACAGAAATGAGTGCATGGGGCTGGAGCAATGAAGCTGACGAGCTAACATGCCAAGCAACAGGGGATGGGAGCAGTTCAGGATCAGCAGGGAAACTGCAAGAAATCCAAACCTTCCAGGGAATCTATGAGGGAATCGCAACAAGGTTCTAGTCCTTTGATGCTGAGTGTGAAGTTGCAGGCTGCCTGCAATTCCTACACAACAGGGGAGAAGGCGCCGTGGTCTAAACCACTGAGCCTCTTGGGCTTGCCAACTGGAAGCCAGCAGTTCGAATCTGCACAACAGGGTGAGCTCCCATTGCTCTGTCCCAGCTTCTGCCAAGCTACAGTTTGAAAGCATGCCAGTGCAAGTAGATAAATAGGTACTGCCGTGGCAGGAAGATAAACAGCGTTTCTGTGCACTCTGGTTTCCGTCATGGTGTTGTGTTGCGCCAGAAGCGGTTTAGTCATGCTGGCCACATGACTCGAAAAGCTGTCTGTGGACAAACGCCGGCTCCCTTGGCCTGAAGCAAGATGAGCGCCAAAACCCCATAGTCGCCTTTAACTGAATTTAACTGTCCAGGGGTCCTTTAGCTTTTTCTGCCTTACGCAACAGTGTGACTATATCACACATTTTAAAACAATTACAGTAATTACATGTAATAAAATTATAGGCATGGATTGGCTTGCTGGGAGGAAAAGTGAACAGGCACCAAAAACATTACAGCAGAGGCATTTGCCTAATATTAATGAGCAGGGAGTTCCAAAGAGAAGGTGCTGCCACACTGGAGGTTTGATTCCTTGCAAGTGCAGAATGAATATTATGCGATACTTGTAAAAGTGCCAATTCTGAGATTGAAGCAGTCGAATGGGCACATATGCACATATAAAGGAAACCGAGACCAAGAGAGATAACTAATCCATGATGTCATAGTCCCAGCAATTGATTTAAAAGATGCATTTCCAGTTTACCACTAATTAATCAAAGGGGCTTATTCTGGGCTATTGGTCTCCAAAAGAAAAGTCAATAAAATGGTAAAAGAAAAGTAAAAAATGCAGGGCAGCGGCACTGCTGTATGAAGGCTGGAAGCCGGAAGTACAAAAGATGAACCCGAGAATCACTCATGTTTAAAATGTTGACTAAAAAAAACACGGCAGTGATTAACAGCATCCAGTTGAAGCAACATCAAGCGAAAGAGGCACACAATGGACCAAGGACAGAATTCTTGAGTTAATCAAAACAGAATGGAACAGAAGAAGCGCAACTGCCAACACAGATCAAGCTTTGCCCTTGTCATTCTATAACTTTCTGTAACACATGTTCCCACGCATGTCTGTGCAAGAGTGTAAGTCAGTCGGATGTGGAGAATTCTGAAACAAATAAAAGTGGCTGAACTTCAGCTGTGGAGCCAAAACAACTCCAATGATTTATTCAGACAGTTGCAAGAACCAGCAACCTTTTCCTCCTCTGCAACATTATTTGTATGTGTATGTTCTCTATACCCTCAAAGGGACAATAAGCTTGCCCAGCCTCTCTGCCTTCCCCAATTCATGAAGATGGATAAAGCAGTCTTATCCTGTGTCTCAGGGGGAAAGAGAAGAGAATCAGACTCCCCTTCCACTACTATTTATCACCATTTCTCCACCAGGATTCCAACTCTCATGCCTCCTTTACAAAACTCAGGTCAGGAAGACCCACATTTAATGTGAAAATGGGGGAGTCCATTTGCATCATACGTCTGACTTCCACGTGACCTAAGCGTTTGCAGCCTCCTCCCTAAATTAAGCCCCCACCTCTCCTCTTAAAAATAAAGCTGGGTAACTATCAAGCACAGAGCAGTACTGAAGATGGACTGGACAATCTCTATGCAAAGCACAGTTTGGAAAAGAGAAGCAGTGCCGCACTTACTTGAAGAGGGAGGTTTTAGGCCTCTGGGGTTTCTTTTTTGCAAAGAATGCTGCAAATTCCCGTCCCGAGCTGGCATAACTAAGCTGAGCTGATGGCTCCGAAGATGCCCGTGTATTTTTCATATCCAAGTACTCCGTGAGCAGCATCTGGAGAGAAAGGGAGGGAGGAACAGCATTTTAAGAAGCATGTTTTTAAAAGGCTTTGTAAACAAAGTCTCAAATTAATGCCGGAAAACTAACCCATACAATCCATTAATACAGTTTGCACAAAAGTTTACCATCAGATTAAAACTCTCGTCAGAAGAAAGCTTTTGGTTCTACGCATCAACCTGGCAGATTTCTGAACAACTAACATGCCAGCCATTTGGTGTGGAATGGCTGTGGAACTCCCTTTCATTGGATGTCAAGGAAATAAAACAACTATCTGACTTTTAGAAGACATCCCTGAAGGTTCAGGGAGGTTTTTAATGTTTGATGTTGTACTGTGTTTTAATTTGTTGGAAGCTGCCCAGAGTGGCTGGGGCAACCCACTCAGAGGGGGACAACAACAACAACAGCAACAACAACGACAACAACGACTCTAGTAGGGTAGTGGTGCCTCAGTTCTGAAACACCCTCCTTTTGAAGGCTAGGATAGCCAAGTTATGGTTGGGAGTTCACTTTTAAATTGAAATATGTTTTTGTTTTTCCTAGATTTTGATGGCTATGGTTAATAATAATAAATTTTACTTATACCCCGCCCTCCCCAGCCAGAGCCGGGCTCAGGGTGGCTAACACCAGTAAAAATTACAGTAATTAGGTTAGGCTGTTTTTGAATCTTTATATTATAGTACTGATTTGGGGTTTTTTATTATAGATATTATTGATACTAGTGCTGATATTTAACCGTTGTTGTAATTGTGTTTTGTAATTTATTTATTTTTGTAAACTGCTTTGAGGTCACTTTCAACAAAAAGCAGTATATGCACACATTAAATAATAACAGTAACATTTAGGTGCCAACACAGCCCATGTCACATGGAATGAAATTATCTTGCAGAAGACACTCCTTTAGATAGCTCTAAAAAGGGCAGTAAAATTTAAATTTGCAGCAAAAGTTTCACCAAAATTCCTGAGCATACAGAGATTTACTGATGCCTTTACAGACAAAAATTTAGTCTGCCACACTGGATCAAATTTTGTAGCATTTGAAAAGAACCCACTGTCTTCAGATGAGCATATTCAATACAGATCTAGACTCATTTAACAACCACTCCCTCTTTGCGGGAAGCCATGGGAAATATTTTTCTGTAAGGAGGAGATCCCCTGTGATTTCCCAGCAAAACCACAACAAGGTACAGTTCACAAAGTTCTTTGCACTGGCTTAGAGTGAAAAATGAAGTTTTTTAAAAAAGCAGAAAAATAAATTATTTTGATCAGCACATATTAGAGCACTGACAACACCTGGGGCCCATAACAGCATAGCAGGATTATTGGTAACCATCATTCACCCTGTTAGGAAGCTGCCTAATGTAATAAGAGAGCACACTGTAGGTAACAAGTGGAATGTATCAGTGAAGGAAGGATCTTATTTAAACAAATTAGCATGAAATAACAACCAGGCCAACAGTACTAAGCTGCTAATTAGACACAACTGAGAATTCTTTTTTTAAAAAAAGATACAACAAAATTAAATAAAGATAACCTGATTTCTATCCCTAACTATCTCAATTAGTTCACCAGCAGAGAGACTTCTGATGTGTTCTCATTCCAGTGCAAAGAAAACAGCAGTGTGTGTGTGGCCATATTTCACGGCAACTTATCTGCTTGCTTTGTTCGCTTTTAAAGGCAGAGTCACACATTATGTTTTTGGAAGGTATACAAGGCGTACAAGCTAATGTGCACCGAAAACCGTAGAATGTGGATAAAGAACATGAGCTCAGAAATATGCCTATGGTATCAGAAAGCCAGGAATACTACAAGGCTGCAGAAACACCATACAGTACACTTAAAACATATCCCCCTCCACCCCAAAAAATCCTGGGAAATCACAGATTGATAGAACTGTACAGTTGGAAGGGACCCCAAGGGACATCTAGTCCAACCTCCTGGAATCTCAACTAAAGCAACCATGACAGAAGGCCAGCCAACCTCTGCTTATGTAAACATAGTTTACACCCTTATGGAGCTACAGTTCCCAGCACCCTAAACAAAGTACAGTTCCCAGGATTCTTAGGGGAGGGTGCTTTAAATCTTTGGTATGTTCACTACAGTTGGTTATTCCTGAGTTACTTTCTCAAGCACACAGATTTCAGAAAGCCAAGTCGTCAATAAGCTCATGAGGAAAGGGAGTTGGCCACCACCAACCGGGCTCCTTCTCAAACAAGCACGCCGCATCTGAATACAAAACGTTTCCTGGGCATTAAGGGAAGAGCGGTCCAGTCTAAACTGTCTCCATATCTGCCAGACTTGCACACCTCTCTGCTTTCAAGGAGTTCTGAGTGGGGTTCAAGAGCCTTAAATTTCATCTTGCAACACATGAAACTGGAGCAGTGGCCGGGTGCTACAGAAAATGTAGGAGGGACAAGAGGCAAAGCTGGCTGAGAATTCTTAGAACTTTAGGCAAAACATTCACATTTGAGGGCCAACAGTGGGGAGAAAAGAATTGCTGGAGATTTTCTCTAATTAGCATCCTGCAGTACCAGGTTCACAGAGCAACAGCAATTACCATTGTTGTTGTTAATTTGGATGATTATCATAATCATCACCATCTAATACTTATCAAGTACCTTTTTTTCCTTCTCTTCTATGTGCCCTGTTAGAGGCTAGTAAAAGTCATACCCCACTATCAACGTCAGTCCCTCCAGCAGGTCTCTTCTAATATTTCCCGAACTACATATTTAGTTATAAACCAAAAACAGAAAGAAAAAAAACCCCAAACTTAAATTTTACAGCTTGAAACTGGTAGGCGAGAAGGGGGCTGGCAAACATGCAGCTACACAACCCAATTTCTTCTGCTCACTGAAGTGATTAGTAATATTTGCCTGAGGATGAAGTAAGGCCACGAGTGTTTGGTCCTACAATGTTTAATTATTCGTTGCAAAGCCGTCCATCAAAATCCTTGTTAGACGTTAATCAAATGCATAAAGAGCAAGATTTATGAGTGACTGTACAGTTTGCAGCATCCCATCCATCTACAACAAGGACTTCTGACTTCCTGTTCAACAGAGGTTGAATGTAGCCATCCGTGTATTAGACACTAATCACAAACAAATCTGGACATGACAGCAGAGAGATCCAATGAAGCATTATTATTATTATTATTATTATTATTACTATTTCCAAAAGCTAAAACTAAAACCTAAGTACTCTGGGGGAATAGCTGTTAGCCTACTGCAGCAACCCCAATAGTCTGTCAATGTGGCGGGGGGGTGGCACCTGAGAGAGGGGGCGGAACCTGTAGTGGGGTTGCCGTGTGTAAAGCGGCAGTGGAGCAGAGTCTTCTTTTCCTCTTCCTTCAGCTGCCACTGCTTTCCAAACAGGCTTGTTGCTCTCTCTGGGAATGCCCGGACACCTCTTTCTGGTCAGGGCTCCATTTCACTGTGTGTGCTGTGAAGCAGCACTCCACACTTTCCAAACGCCCATTACAAACTTACCCTACCCTCTTACTTGTTTATTTTTTTAAAAAAATCCATATGCACAGCTATTCCTTTCGTTTACTTCACTAAGAAGCTGCAACAGGTCAGTGGCAAATTCACAGGTGTGTGTGTTGCCTTATTCGGCAGCAAATGGACAGATATTTGCAGTTTTCTCACAAGGCAGGCCTATGCAGAGAGAAAGCTATGGTAAACCCTTCTCCTTGTGATGCTGTTGGTTTGTGTCCAGAGTTTATTTTTGTTTCGTTGGAAGAGGTTGCAGCTCCCTCCACACCCTGGCAGCACTGGGTAGTTCAGCTGGTTAGAGCGTGGTGCTGACAATGCCAAGGTTGCAGGTTCGATCCCTGTTTGGGACAGCTGCATATTACTGCATTGAAGGGCTGGACCCAATAACCCTCATGGTCCGTTCCAATTCTATGAATCTGTGCTTACAATTTGAGTACAGTGGTACCTCAGGTTAAGTACTTAATTCGTTCCGGAGGTCCGTACTTAACCTGAAACTGTTCTTAACCTGAATAATAATAATAATAATAATAATAATTTATTATTTATACCCCGCCCATCTGGCTGGGTTTCCCCAGCCACTCTGGGCGGCTTCCAAAAGAATATTAAAATACTGTGATACATCAAACATTAAAAGCTTCCCTAAACAGGGCTGCCTTCAGATGTCTTCTAAAAGTCTGGTAGTTGTTCTTCTCTTTGACATCTGGTGGGAGGGCGTTCCACAGGGAGGGCGCCACTACCGAGAAGGCCCTCTGCCTGGTTCCCTGTAACTTGGCTTCTCGCAGTGAGGGAACCGCCAGAAGGCCCTCGGTGCTGGACCTCAGTGTCCGGGTAGAACAATGGAGGTGGAGACGCTCCTTCAGGTATACTGGACCGAGGCCGTTTAGGGCTTTAAAGGTCAGCACCAACACTTTGAATTGTGCTTGGAAACGTACTGAAGCACCACTTTAGCTAATGGGGCCTCCTGCTGCTGCCACGCCGCCGGAGCACAATTTCTGTTCTCATCCTGAAGCAAAGTTCTTAACCTGAAGCACTATTTCTGGGTTAGCGGAGTCTGTAACCTGAAGCGTATGTAACCTGAAGCGTATGTAACCCAAGGTACCACTGTACTATGGAATTCAAAACTTAATGCAATATAAGGAATAAAAAGCAATAAAAATATGATTAAAAACCATACAGAATCTAGCACAGTGCATTACAGTCGCTACAGTGCGCAGAAAGAAAACAGCAACTGGTCTGCCAAGACCCTCAGCAGTTTTCATGGTTCACTGGGGGATGGTGGTTGCAAACCACTGGCAATGACCTGAGGGAAAAAATGAATGATTGCCATGAGGATATGTTAAGAGCTACATAGAAGGACTCCTGCCAACCTAGCAGTTTGAAAGCATGCCAAAAAAAGTGCAAGTAGATAAATAGGTACCGCTCCGGCGGGAAGGTAAGCGGCGTTTCTGTGCGTTGCTCTGGTTTGCCAGAAGCGGCTTAGTCATACTGGCCACATGCCCCAGAAGCTGTATGTCGGCTCCCTCAGCCAATAAAGCGAGATGAGCGCAGCAACCCCAGAGTTGGCCATGACTGGACCTAATAGTCAGGGGTCCATTTACCTTTTACATAAAAGGAAGAAGCCCCATCACCTCAACTCAGAGAGCTTCATTTGGCCCTATCTCAAATCTGAGGCTCAGAATGTACTCAGAGAAACAGTGTTCTTAATTCTAAATAAATGCCTTTTGTACCTAGCTCTGCTTGGCAAGACTTGGGGTTCATATAAAAAACAAAGTAGATCTGACAAACATGCAGTAGACCCACCTCACACACTTTAAGGGGAGTGACAAATCCAGCAATATTTCCATCTCTAAAATGATAGCAGGGTTGAATTCTTCCTATGCTATATACAAATTAAGCATCATCAGTAGGGCTGTCAAACAGCTCATTAATTTTAGTTGATTAATAATCTGGCTTTTAACCAAATCAATTAAATTTCAGTAGGTTTGCAGATTGCCAATGCCACAGTAAGGATGCCTTATTGAAAAAATAAAGTGTGAGATAACTAACCATTCATTAAAATAAGTTGCTCACTCCTGGGAGGAAAGACCACCTTGATCATTTTCTTTTCTTTCTTTTTATTAATTTCCTGTTTGGTTATCATTATAGAACCAAAATAGTTTGATAAAAAGAAACAAACAATTCTCAGTTCTCCAATGAGCAGCTTTAGAAGGGATGGGGAACTGGTGGTGTTTCAGACATTGTTGGAATCCAACTCCCATCAAGCTCACTCTGCATGGCCAAGGTTCAAGGATGGGAGTGAAGTCTAGCAGCGGCTGGAGGACCAAAGGCTGCCCAATCATGAGCTAAAGTCTTAGTTGATTAACCTTCTGATGAAAGTTTGCAGACCTAATCATCATTCCCATCCAGGGTTTTATTTTCCATCAACCCCAAGCAAACAACACAACCTGATTTGCCTATTTCACTAACCACAGAGAATTTCTGAGTCAAGGCAAATGAAGTCAACAAATAGTAGGATGTTAAGTACACAATATGTTAGGGGATGGAGAAGAGGAAGACATGAATTGATACTGGAGAAAGAACTTGACAGAGACAACAGCAGACAGCTGTCAGCTGTCACTCTTCAAAGCTTTCCCCATCAAACCATCCCTTCAGTTGTATTATCTGCTGCAGATCTCTTCTGGAAACGTGACCCATGAGTACAATAATTAATTACAAACTGTCCTTTGTAGTTTTGGTCACAAAAATCTTTAAAAGCAGTTGGAGGAAGGGATGATAAAAAGCACAAGGCCTCTTAAAGAAAGTAAAGAATCAACTACTTCTTCCAAAGATGTGGTGAACAAATGAGACATTACACCATCATCATCATCACCACCACCACCATTCAGTAGGAGCTGGGTATTAAATATATTTTGATTTTTCTTAAAGCCTTCTTAAGAGCCAGACACATTTTTAATGGCAACACCCACAAATAAGCACAACTCATGTGCAGTGATTTCCTACACCAAAATTCCTGCATGTGTTCCTGCAATATTCCTGCATGTCTGCAAAACAAAGGAATTCTGTGGTTTGACGGGGGAGCAGCCAAATATGACCCTTTTCCTCTTCCTTTTTTTTTTAATTACTATCAAACCCAAACTCATTTACACTTATATTATTTTCAGTCCCCAGTTTGTCCAAAGAGAGATAACAGATAGCACAGCATGAAGCCATTGAGGTAAAAATCAACAGTTGCTGAACTTCTTTTCCATACATGCAATTATGTTGAGGTTAAAATAAGTATCATATGCACCCTTTTCTCCTCTCACCATGACCTCATTCATTAACCAACATTTTGGTAGGTTTTTGTTGTTGTTTCTTCCCCACTTTCCCCCCACTGAAAAGTTGTTTAGGGATAATGCAGTATTTCCTCTGCTTCATATCCCTACAACTAGAGGACCACGCTGCTATCTCAAAGGACAGCAAAAGAGCTGGACTAGAGAGCCACCAATGGTCTTTAGATTTCAGAGTCAAGTGACACAAAGCAAATTTTAGGCATGCATTTAAAAATGTCAAGTCTAAATGCAGTACACAAAGCCAACCAGCCTACCTCCAAGATCATGGTACCTAAGCCCAGGGACGTCAAATTAAGCTCTGCATGTCCACATGCAAAGATAGAGAAGGCCCAACCTTTTAAAAAAATAAAAAAATGGGACTATTGGAAGGTGAGGGTTTCCTAGGGAATTTAATGTATAGTGGCAAATCCTGGTCGGCTACCGCTCAATGTGCAACAGAGTCTTTTAAAACTTGGTTAAATGCCTGCCAGAAAGGGACTGGCTCAATGGATCAACAATGATCGGGGTGGGGAGCGGAATATCATGGCCTGCTGGGATGTTTTTGCCTCTGCGCATGGATCTGGGAATGTTCTGATCAGTTCACTGTTTTTGCCTCTGCGCATGGGTCTGGGAATGTTCTGATCAGTTCACATTGAGTTCAGTACCCTGACCTGTTCTTAACGCATTGTTGACCACATCTACGGAACGCGATTGTTGTGTTCTTTCAAGTCATGCAATATCAATCACTAGTAACCATGTGTTCCCTTTCCCAACCTTCATGATTACTGCCCTTGCATTGTATTCATGTTAACCAATCAGCAACAAGCACATATGTGGAAATGCTGTAATATTCAATAAAAGGGACTTCCCGAACACATGCTCGAGAGATGCCTCCCGTATGACACCTTGCCATTCGTCTGTCGCTTATTTCAACCCAACAATGGCCACGAACTATCAAAACCTCCCTTCCTTATTGAGACCTTAAGTTTTGCAAATTGTGGCCATGCAATGTCATTCAATGCCTGCAACGTAATTAATCATTAATGTACCAAACTAAGGTGCTATAAGCAGGGCGGACTTTGGTAATACAGCACCCTGAGTGAGGACAAAATTCAGCACTCCCCCTAAATATTTCATACTTTCACAGTAATTCCTTTTTTATTTATTTTTATTTTGCTTCAGCTCAAAGCCCTATGCGGGGGAACTGCCTGAACCACCCTAAATCTGGCGCTGCTCTAAGAACAAGTAGATGATTCAGAGGCTAGCACTTACAATTCACTAGCAGGGGGAGAGGGCCCGGGGAGATGGCATACTGTTTAAATACCAAGCATGTTAACTCTTAGATAATACAGTGTATTTCATGTTCTTCATCCTTCCAACTAATTACTTAAGACATCCTGCTGCAGTCAAGATGGTAACAGTATATGCCCTCAGTCTTCATTAAATGCCACTACTTAATAACAGACTCCAAAAAGGGGCTTAGTTTCATTTACTCCAAGCTCCTGAACTTTAGAAAGTTGTTAATCAGACTCCTATGTAAATGGAATGACGATTAAAGGTTAAGTACAGGTTTCGGAAATTTCAGAAGTTGAAGACGTGTCACCCTTAAAAGGGAGGGAGGGGGGAAAGAACTATCAAGCTTTGACAGGAACTAAACATCTTAATTAAAATGCTCAGAAGTACAGTACTCATTTCTGCATGAAGTTCTATTTTCAAATGTCAAATTTAATCAGGCACTTGAGTAAAAATCCGCAATATTCCTATGGCAGGGAGGAAGGGAAGAAAATGCCTTGGGATTCTCCCCTTCTCTGCTTATCCTTAAAAATCCTCTCTTCCAGGGAACGGAATGCTTTCTCAGACACCTTGACGCAACCCACACTTCCTCTTCCCAGAATCCAATGCCGTTAGAGCTCAGGAGTATTGCTGGCATCCTATTTTGCAAACGTGACAAAATATTCAATCAGAGAGGCCCCAGTACATTTGCTCCCTTTCAGAAACCTTGAGTGGCATGATTCAAAAGGATTTATGTTCTCTGGAGA